TTAAGCAAATATCCCAAATTTGCTTGCATCAGATAAGACAATTGTAGATATAAATCCAGACGTACTCCTGTTAACTCTTTTGGGGCCTAGTTCCTAGGCCTTGTTTGCCTCTATATGTACATACTCTTGCGCTTCCGTCCACAGGATGGCTATGGCGTGGATAACAAACTAGCTGTTTCGGCAGCGAACTGTAAATCTAATCTTAGCTTAGCCGTTTAGGTGACATTAATTTTGATCTAAAACCTACAGAAATATTCAATATTATATAGAATAATAGAAATATTTGTATTTTCTTGGAGTGCTATGGTACACTATGGTGCACTGTGTTCTTTCATTAAGATCAGTCTTTTGGTTTCTGTAGAATTAACGGGAAATCAACTCCCTTGATAACTAGTCTTCACGACGCGCCGTGGCTGGACAATAACATGAGAACGCTTCTACGGCTTGGCTTCAATTTTTGAGGCCAGATGTATCGTAGTAAGAGGGAAGTTTACTCTGTTACTGTGCCATTTTGGCATTATTTTATCATGCAAAATTTTAAAGTGCTGTTTTTTATGCAGTAAACTGAGACTGTTTAGTCTGATTGGTTTCAAATTGTTAATCTACAGCTCCTAGGCTTCTTGGTGTAGTTGAATTATAGCTCCTTTTATAACTCTCGTTATAACTCCTGTCGAAGGGGATAGGCTACAGCTCCTTTGTCTATACATGATCTCCATGGGTTGAGGTAGAGAAGGCTCAGCTGTGTGATACGAAGGATACATCTTTGGTATCGCGGAAACTGAAAGAAGTAGATTGACCATCATGCAGTCAATAGGCTTGAAATCTAATTTGTCAACCAACCAATATACATAAGGATATAACGAGATGTGTATATATACACTGAGAGTTCACTTAAATTTCTTTATTCCCTTGTTAGTGATTGAAGAATGGCTGGTGGTGAACAGTTATATACATTCTTAATGACCCTCGTGTTAGTCGATAGTCTTTAAACCCAGTTAAATCCGTGTATACACACAGATGTGTATATCTCAGTATATATGCACTATGAACAATTAATATTTATGACTGATATACAAGACATCGTTGTCTGCGCAACAGTTGTCATGGTGATCAAGAATAATTTACCCAGAATATAAATAACGACTATTTTTATGAATTCTTATTAAAAGTAAAAAATAATTAAATGGCCTTTAAATATATGTAAGTACTCGTTTAATAAATATAAATAATTTACTGTTTTGGAATAATTTTAATGTAATTGTTTAGTTTCGTGTATGATTTAAATTAAAACAAAAGTATATTAAAAATAATAAATTTTTAAGCAATCATAATTATTATTAGCCATTTAATTTTGAATAACAAATTTTAATTAAATGAAATTATCATCGTTAAATGGTTAACAGATTTTGAAGCTTATCGGTCATCGAGATTGTATATAATAAATTTAGAACTGGTCAAAAATACTTTAATTCTTAAAATATGAGTCAATGTTAATTGTCTAAGCAATACTATATACACTCAGAGTTTACTTTAATCCTTATTTTAGGTATTAAAGTCAATTGAGCAAACGAGAGTTATTAAAAAAACCCAACCAGTCTGATAATGGATGGAAAAGCACTCAATGTATATAACGAATTTCCTGGATCAAGAGCCCTTCGGCAGCATCTGGGCAGTTCTCTTGAAATTTTATGAGATTAAAACTATTATTCGTGCATAGGGCAAGGAGGAATAACATCTTGTAGGAGTGAGGAAGAACCAGTTGTGAGTGTGGGGGAGGTGCGTGAGGCTGTGGGTAGAATCAATGGGGGTAAGGCAGCTGGGATTGATGGGGTGAAGATAGAAATGTTAAAAGCAGGTGGGGATATAGTTTTGTAGTGGTTGGTGCTTTTATTTAATAAATGTATGGAAGAGGGTAAGGTACCTTGGGATTGGCAGAGAGCATGCATAGTTCCTTTGTATAAAGGCAAAGTGGACAAAAGAGAGTGTTGAGTATACCTGGTAAAGTGTATGGTAGAGTTGTTATTGAAAGAATTAAGAGTAATGCAGAGTAGGATAGCAGATGAACAAGGAGGATTTAGGAAAGGTAGGGGGTGTGTGGACCAGGTGTTTACAATGAAAAATATATGGTGAACAGTATATAGATAAGGGTAAAGAGGTTTTTGTGGCATTTATGGATTTGGAAAATACGTATGACAGGGTGGATAGGGGGGCAATGTGGTAGATGTTGCAAATATATGGAATAGGAGGTAGGTTACTAAATGCAGTAAAAGTTTTTCTGAGGATAGTGAGATAGTGAGGATAGTGAGAGGGAGATTATTTCCCAGTAAAAGTAGGCCTTAGACAAGGATGTGTGATGTCACCATAGTTGTTCAATATATTTATAGATGGGGTTGTAAGAGAAGTGAATGCTGGGGTGTTGGCAAGAGGTGTGGGGTTAAAAGATAAAGAATCTAACACAAAGTGGGAGTTGTCACAGTTGCTCTTTGCTGATGACACTGTGCTTTTGGGAGATTCTGCAGAGGAGTTGAAAAAGTTGGTGGATGAGCTTGGTAAGGTAAAAGAAAAAAAAGAAAAGTGAATATAGGAAAGAGTAAGGTGATGAGGATAATAAAAAAAATAGGTAAAGAAAGACTGGATATCAGATTGGAGGGAGAGAGTATGGAGGGGGTGAATGTATTCGAAGTGGATGTGTCAGCAGATGGGTCTATGAAGGATGAGGTGAATCATAGAATTGATGAGGGAAAAAAGGTGAGTGGTGCACTGAGGTGTCTGTGGAGACGAAGAACTTTGTCCTTGGAAGCAAAGAGGGGAATTTATGAGAGTATAGTTATACCAACGCTCTTTTATGAGTGTGAAGCATGGGTGGTAAATATTGCAACAAGGAGAAGGCTGGAGGCAGTGGAGATGTCGTGATTGACGGCAATGTGTGGTGTGAATATAATGTAGGGAATTCGTAGTTTGAAAATTAGGAGGAGGTGAGGGATTACTAAAACTATTAACGAGAGGGCTGAGGAGGGTGTTGTTTGGGTGGTTCGGACATATAGAGAGGGTAGAACAAAACAGAATGACTTCGAGAGTGTATAAATCTGTAGTGGATGGAAGGCGGGGTAGGGGCAGGCTTAAGAAAAATTGGAGGGAGGGGGTAAAGAAGATCTTGTGTGCGAGGGGCTTGGACTTCCAGCAAGCATGCGTGCGCTTGTTTGATAGGAATGAATGGAGATAAATGGTTTTCAGAACTTAACGTGTTGTTGGAGTGTGAACAAGGTAACGTTTATGAAGGGATTCAGGGAAACCGGCAGGCCGGACTTGAGTCCTGGAGATGGGAAGTACAGTGCCTGCACTCTGAAGGAGGGGTGTTAATGTTGCAGTTTTATAACTGTATTGTAAGCGCGCCTCTGGCAAGACAGTGATGGAGTGAATGATGATGAAAGCTTTTATTTTTCGGGCCACCCTGCCTTGGTGGGAGACGGCCGATGTGTTAATAAATATATAAATAAATAAATTTATATACATATATATATATATTATATATATATATATATATATATATATATATATATATATATATATATATATATATATATATATGTGTGTGTGTGTGTGTGTGTGTGTGTGTGTGTGTGTGTGTGTTTGTGTGTGTATGTGTGTGTGTGTGTGTGTGTGTGTGTGTGTGTGTGTTGTGTGTGTGTGTGTGTGTGTGTGGTGTGTGTGTGTATGTGTGTGCCACGCCACACATAGCAACATTGGGGTTATTTACAAGAATCTGAAATATTTCCAGCCATCATTCCTAATGATGCGAGTAATTTTGAATAAATGGTTTAGAAACCCGACAAATTGATAGATGAGATACTTGAACAACACTTGGGCAATCTTTATTGTGGAAACGTTTCGCCAGCCAATGGTTTCTTCAGTCCAACACAGAAAAACTGTGGGAGATAAGGAGTGGGAGATAATCAGTCCCTCAGCCTGGAGTCAACTCCAGGCTGAGGGATGTGGTTGATATCCAGGTATGAACTGGAAGTGCCATGTCCATAGTTTCTCTGAATAACTCCGTCCCTCATAGTCTAGCTCTAGTCCCCTCAAGCTGGCTTCATACCCACCGGGTTAAAGAACAAAATGGCACAATCCTGTGACTGGAACAACACACAAATAACCCGTACATAGGAGAACAAAACTTATGCCTACGTTTCGGTTCTACTTAGACCATTAACCAGCTACACGTATGGTCCAAGACGGGCCGAAACGTCATTAAAAGTTTCATTCTTCTATGTGTGGGTTTTCTGTGTACCCATCAGGTGAGCAATATCCCTCTCAGGATAGCTCTGTGAGTCTCAGGATAATTCTGTGACTCTCAGGATAACTTTGAGACTCTCAGGATAATTCTGTGGCTCTCAGGATAACTCTTTCCGGCTAAACCTAGCTATAATCCTCTCAGGATAGCTGTAATCTTTTCAGGAGAGCTGTAATCCTCTCAGGATAGCTGTAATTCTCTCAGCATAGCTGTAATCCTCTCATGATAGCTGTAATCCTCTCAGGATAACTATAATTCTCTCAGGATATCTATAATCCAGCCAGGATAGACTCTCAGGAAAGCGCTAACCCTCTCAGAATATCTTCATTGTAAGTTGGTATTTCGTCTGACACACGATTAGCGCACACATGATCGAGCCTTCACCAGCTCTTTAGTTGAATAAACCACATAGGTTTAGCGTTTCACATAAAATAATAAAAAGAAACATTTGCTAGCACCTTGTATGACTATTAGTGTCCACTACCAATTGGAAAAAACAGAGGACTTATGCGGAGTGTCTAGCAGAAATTTCTTGTGATCACGGGAATTATAACCCTTTTTTTTATATTTTCTATGCTTTTTTATTGCCTGTTGATTTATAATTTTTCTAGGTTTAATAGCTTTTCATTGAATTATTCAATTTTAAGTATCTATATGATAATGTGTTTTGGGAGGAAGTGGATACGTAAGGGTGGACACAAAACCAAGAAACATGGTATATTTTAATAAATGATTATTAATAATTATTTGTTAATTATTAATAATTAGTTGAATAATTAGGGGACGACCGTCTCCTAAAAGGCCCCACAGAGAGGAGGGCGACATAAACAATTCTACTTATAATTTATTTGAGCATAATCTTGAGCGGAAACCAGCAGCGGCAGACTTCGCTGCTGTCACAGTTGAGATATTAACTTTAAAAACATAACTTATCAACGTCTCAATTGTATTCTCATACTGACGCGTGTGCAAGTCACTAAAGCAATGGTTTGTGCTCTCTTGTAGGGACACAACTTGAGACGTGGAACAACACGTCATACTGACTGACACGTGTCCAGGATGAGAGACATACATCCCGGCTCTATATTTCCCCGTCGTCGTGTTAAAGGAACATCTTTACGCCTGCGTCTCCATTATAAAAAATAGTAAAAAATTCTAATTTTACACTACAACGAGATACATGGATCATACAGACATTAAATACACAACAGATAATTATACAAACATATCACAGATAAGCCGCCGGATCTTACGTACGACTCGGCAAACTGTCTTTGGTGGGACTTCCTGCTCTGGAGGCGAGTGGGGCCAACTTCTGCAATCTGATATTTCTCCTATTGGCTTTCACACCAACATTTAAACTGAGGCTGCTGTTTGTCTCTTGCTTTCCTGGCCCCCAGTGCCGTCCAGCTTGCTCCTTCACTGGTCTTGTGTACTGGTGTGCTGATGGACGGGGTCAGGAGTCACATATATAGGAACTGTCAGGGGCAGCAAAACCCAAGAGCATTTGAGCCGTAGGGAGGAAGAAATCTCAGAGTCCTGCTGCTCTGAACTCGTGCGACTGCATGTCGATGTTACCAATCTTCGACACTTCACGAGGAATGAACGACAGCTGAAAGGAAGATATAATATATTAATAACCTTAAAAAGACATATCTATATATGGATATTAATAATAAAAAAGAATTTTATAAGCTTAAAACCTTATATTCCAAATTTAATTTTGATTTGTATATAATTATAATTTTAGGAAGGCGTACTTCTAGTATTCTTATCTTGATGTTCTGTTCTTACCTTGAATGCCTTTGGGGTATAAGTAGTGCCAAGGATTCCTTCCATGCTAGGCAGGGGCTCATTCTCTGGTGTCGCCAAATTAAAGACATGAAGAATGGAGGTGAAGAATAAGAACAGCTCACTTCGAGCGAGGACATTACCGAGGCACATGCGTCGTCCAACGCCAAAAGGAATAAACTGCTCTGGCTTCTTAACTCGGCCCTCTGCGTCAATGAACCTAGTTGGGTCGAATCTTTGTGGATCCTCCCACAATTGGGAATCCATGTGGCACGCATACAGGAGTGGGATCACAGTAGCTCCTTTGGGAATGGTGTACCCTCCTAGAGTGGTATCCCTAGTGGTAGCGTGAAAGGTTCCCAAGGGCACGACGGTAGAGCGGCGCAGGACCTCGCAAAGGGTGGCCTCGGTATAGGGCAGATGCTGCTGGTCGTCCAGACAAGGCATGCGAGAACGTCCTACCACAGCGTCCAGCTCCTCCTGAACCCTGTGCATCACCTTTGGGTGACGCAGAAGGTAAACCAATGACCACAGCAAACACGTCTTCACGGTCTCCTCGCCAGCGCTGAATATATCAGTCATCACTTGCACAAGCTGTCGATCTGAACAAAGAAAACAATGATGCATTAGCAACAGATTATTCGTTAAGACCAATAATGTGTAATGAGAAAAATCATTGGGAATTTATCAGAATCAGATTCATTTAAAACATACGAGTGGTAATAAGAAAGAGAAATTAGATATCTCACTGCTTATTACGACTCAGAAAATCTAAAGAAACTACTAGTAAATATTTAATATTTTATAATGAAGAAGGAGTCTTGTGACATATGAGAATCTCTAACAAACATTCCGTGATGTGCTTCAGAGACTAACTTACCGAAGTCTTTTCCTTCGAAGAGAACTCGTCCCTCCTCCTTGGCTCGGTGTTCCTCAAGGAGGTAGCAGTCGAGGATGTCACCTGTATGGCTGGGGTCAAAGGTTTCCCTCCGCTCCTTGATGATTTCACGGATCATCTCTCCGGACTCATCTCGGCTCTGGATCAATTTTTGGAAGTTCTCGCTGACTGAGGGAATGTATTTGGAGACTGGAATGTAGCTGGTGATATCACACTTTAGGAATAACTTGAAACCCTCGTCATGGAGCTCCATGAAGCGAAGGAAGTTGGGGTTGTTGAGGCGGAACCGAACTGACATGAGGAGGGAACACATGACGTTGGTGGACGCGTTACACAGCAGCTCTCCCACCTCTAAAGCCTTGCCCTTACCAGTCGCCAGGCACTGTAGGAAGCACTCTACCTCACTCTGCATAAAGAGAAAAAAATCCTCATTAAATAAAAGGTCAACGAACTCCTTATGTTATTTCAATTTAAATTATGAAGGTGTATATTTCGTGAGAGTCCGATAATAAAAGAACCTTAAATGTCAAAGTCGTCGAGCAAGTGAGGAGTGTGTATGACTCACCATAATACGGACTTCCATCTGCTCGCGGCCTGGTCCTGTAGTCTTCATGCCAAGGGCTCGAAGACGCTCGTGTAAGAACCGTCTCTGATTCCGCCATGTTATGCCAGAGGTGTTGACCAGACCTGCAGATACACAGATAGTGTTATTCATTATTCCTGGTGTGATAAACGTTCTTGACTATGTTACTTCATAAAAAGGTGTGTGTGTGTGTGTGTGTGTGTGTGTGTGTGTGTGTGTGTGTGTGTGTGTGTGTGTGCGCGTGTGTGTATGTGTGTGTGTGTGTATGCGTGTGTGTATGTGTTCGAATAAGCAGAAATTATGTTTGATAATAAAGTGCAACATTCATCTAACCCTAGAGTTCAAGTTTATCAAGTATAATGTTGTTTAACCGGCTTTTAAATTGTTCGAACGTACCACAGACCTCGACTTTGGCCTATTGCTTTTCAAGGTTCGACAGTAACAAAGCTATTTCCTTTCTGAAGCTGTCTCTGGTAGAGATACGCAAATTGTATTTTATATTTTGAACTTTCCTTCACTATGATTTTGTTAAAATAATTTCTTTTTGCATTTGAGCAAGGAATCGGAGGTGAAGGTCACTCTCACTTTTAAGTGAAGGAAACGGTGCCTACACGCTTGGCACTTTCACCAGCACCTGTCAGGACGCAACACGACCTTCCTCTTGTTTATATCAAGGAAGACGTCTCCTAGTGTCAGTGGTGCTATAATTATAATCTTTCTAAAGGACGGGGACAGCTTGGAATAACTCCTTTCTGAGGAAGGTTGTTTGGAGCAGGTCACACCAACGTGAGGCTGACAGCTTGAAGACTCCATTGCGTCATCACCTTGCCTCTCCTCTACACCACACTAACATCCACAGTATGTTTATTCAATGAATCTGTCAGCACTAATAATAATAAACCGATTCGTCTTTATACTGCCTGATATATATTTATCCCCAGCATGAAGTCTTACCCATAATTATGCCTTGCATTGTAATGCAGAATATTTAAAACTGAAGGTGACTGGCTGGTGTATGACCCAGAAACATGAGCAAACTGTGCAGGACAACTTATAGTGAATTTTGACACTCAAATGAATTGAGTTTCCGAATTCCTTAATGCAGAGATATAAATTCAAATATACCGAAAGCGGTGGACGAGCGTTACGTATAACTACTGAATTAGAGTAAAAAATTCAATAAGCAAAAACTGAAGGGTTGGTGAGTTGCACATATACTTCTCATATAATGAGGGTGATGCACACAAGAGAAGCCTTGGTGAAAATACCAGCTTGCTGCTTACCATAACCGTCGAACATGTCGTAGAGGGCACTGGAGGGACGAGCGTGAAACTCTTCTCTCCTAAAGGCGTCACGAATGATCTTGGGATCAGTGAGGATGACCAGCATCTTGTTACCGAAGCTGAGGCGGTAGATGGAGCCGAACCTTGTGGCCAAGTTCATGAGGGAAATGTGAATATCCTTAGTGAGGAAAGGAAGGTAGCCTAGGATAGGGACCCCCCAAGGGCCAGGGGGCAGCGGGCGTACGCGAGAGCCCAGGTAACAGCGGGTGGCCAACATCACTGTTACAAAGACCAGCACGTGGCAGAGGTACTGCCGGACCGCGACCTCCACCACCTCGTACAAACTCCTCAATATGTATGCACCTATCATCTTGGACTTGATGACACTGCCCAGGATGGGGCAGCGACCACTCTATATACTCAGCCTCGGGTAGCGAGGCGGAGCCTGACCCCCAGGAGGGCGGAGCCTCGACAGCCTACACAGGAAGCCCAGGTCTCCAAGCGGTCGTCCATCACCACAGTGTCCGCCATTATTTTCCCTACCTCGTCTGAGGCCACCTGTGTCATCCTCAGGTTACAACTCTTTAAGGAAGGTGCTTTGAAGCCAGTGAGGGGGCTCTTGATTCAAGGAAGTGGACGTATCCTTCGCTTCCATGGATCGAAGCTCATTGCCTTCCACTCCCAGAGAATATGACCCCCTTTTTTAAAAAAATAATAAGATTTTAAAAAAAAATAATTAATAATAAATAAAAAATAATAATAATAGTTACAAAATATATTATGTTACTTTTTTTTTTCAACCTACTAAAGACCCCGCTGCCTCAGGAGACAAAAGGGCCTGACCCAACTACACTGGGGGACGGGAGATTCCCCCCATATACCAGCGAGTAACCAACTGGTTCACTTCGCATATAGGTGTAAACAAACATTACGGAACACCAGATTCCCTGTAACCCTATGATCAAGGTGCTCCCCAGTTTTTTGTTCATGTTAATGAAGGCCCCCCTTAGATGAGTGAACGAGTGAGTTGTGAGAGGTCGGGCAGGGCGGGGGGGGGCGAAGGGCGGAGCCTAAGTACCGCGGGGGGGGGGGCAGCGGGCGGGGCCCGGCTCATTGTCCTTCCGCCTCCTGTTTTGGGCCCACTGGCTAGTGAGGGGGGCTTCCGTGCCCGCTGTCCCGCCCTGCCCACCAAGCTTTTTTCCGGCCACTGGGTCTTGCCGTACCTCAAAGATTCTTTCCATGCCCACTGCTCCCGCCCGTCTGCTCTCTGCCCTTTACTTGCTGGATCTTCTGCTCCTGTTGTCCATGCCCCTTTTTTGTGTAACAAAATCTAATGACTTTTTTGTTTTTTAAAAATTTTTCACTGAGTCAAGTACTGGGTTACGGGGGCAGTAGTACTGGTGTTACTGGGGCATAGTTGGTGTTACTGGGTCAGTGTACTGGTGTTACTGGGGCAGTATATGGGGTTACTGGGGCAGTGTACTGGTGTTACTGGGTCAGTAGTATGGTGTTACGGGGCATAGTATGGTGTTATGGGTTTGTAGTAGGTGTTATGGGTCAGTAGACTGGTGTTACTGGGCGTAGTACTGGTGTTACTGGGTCGTAGTCGGGTTTTTGGGTCAGTAGTCTGGTGTTACTGGGGCATGTACTGGGGTTACGGGGCATAGTTTTGGGTTTCTGGGGCATTAAGGTGTTACGGGTCAGTGTATGGTGTTACTGGGTCATATCTGGTGTTTTTGGGTCGTAGTACTGGTGTTACTGGGTAAAATATACGGTGTTCGGGTCAGTAGTACTGGGTTCTGGGGTCATAGTATGGTGTTACTGGTAATAGTAGGGGTTAATTGGGGGAAGTAGTACTGGTGTTAAAGGGGCAGTAGTACGGTGTTACTGGGTCAGTGTACTGGTTTTTGGGGCATAGTACTGGTGTTTCGGGGCAGTAGTATGGTGTTACTGGTCAGTAGACTGGGTTACTGGGTCAGTAGTACGGGTTACTGGGGCATAGTATGGTTTTACTGGGTCATATATGGTGTCATGGGTCGTGACTGGTTTACGGGTCAGTAGACTGGTGTTACTGGGGCTGTACTGGTGTTTTCGGGTCATAGTACTGGTGTTACGGGTCAGAGTACTTGGGTTACGGGTCAGAGACTGGGTTTTCTGGGGCAGTATATGGTGTTACGGGGCAGTAGTATGGTGTTAATGGGGCAGTGTACTGGGTTCTGGGTCATAGTCTGGTGTTTTTTGGGGATAGTACTGGGGTTACTGGGGCAGTATCGGTTTAAATGGGGGCATGCCGGTGTACTGGGTCAGTGGTAATGGTGTTCTGGGGCAGTAGTACTGGTGTTACTGGGTCAGTATACTGGGTCATGGGTCATGTACTGGGGTTACTGGTCGGACTGGTGTTTTTCTGGTCATAGTACTGGTGTTTCTGGGTCAGAGACTGGTGTTATGGGTCAGTATACGGGGGTTTTGGGTCAGTAACTGGGTTACTAGGTCAGTATACTGGTGTTACTGGGTCGTAGTCTGGTGTTACTGGGGCGTAGACTGGTGTTAGGGGCAGTAGTACGGGTTACTGGGTTTAGTAACTGGGGTTACTGGGGCTAGTCTGGGGTTTTCTGGGGCATAGTAATGGGTTACTGGGCGTAGTACTGGGGTCCCTGGTCATATACTGGGGTTACTGGTCATATATGGTGTCACTGTGTCATAGTACTGGTGTTATGGGGCAGTATACGGGGTCACGGGTCATAGTACTGGTGTTTACTGGTCAGTAGTATGGGGTCCTGGCATTACTGGTGTTACGGGGCAGGTTTTCTGTTCATGGGTCAGTGTACTTTGTTACTGGTCAGTAGTATGGTGTTACTGGGTCATAGTATGGTGTTTCTGGGTCAGTAGTATGGGTGCTGGGTCATTACTGGGGTTTGGGTCAGTAGTACTGTGTTACTGGGGCAGTAGTACTGGTGTTACGGGGCAGTAGTATGGGTTATGGTAAGTAGTACGGTGTTACGGGTAGAATACGGGTGTCACGGGTCATATTTGGTGTTACTGGGTAATGTACTGGTGTTACTGGGGAAGTAGTACTGGGGTTACTGGGTCATAGACTGGTGTTATGGGTAATGTCGGGGGTTCTGGGGAAGTTACGGTGTCACTGGGTCAGTAGTAGGTGTACGGGTCAGTAGTACTGGTTTTACTGGTCAGTATACTGGTGTTCTGGGGAAGATATGGGTTTCTGGGGCATATTCTGGGGGGTTTACTAGGCATATATTGGTGTTCGGGTAAGTAGTACTGGTGTTACTGGGTCAGTAGACTGGTTTACTGGGTCAGTAGTTTTGTGTTTTGGGTCAGTATACTGGTGTTACGGGTAAGTAGATGGTTTACTGGGTAAGTGTATGGGGTCACTGGTCAGTGTACTGGTGTTACTGGTAAGTGTACTGGTGTTTTTTGGGTAAGTAGTACTGGTTACTGGGCAGTAACTGGTTTACTGCTCGTAGTACGGGGTTATGGGGCAGTATACTGGGGTTACTGGGTAAGTAACTGGGTTACGGGGCGTATACGGTGTTTCTGGGTCAGTAATTTGGGGTTTCTGGGGCAGATTACTGGTGTTACTGGGTAAGTAGTATGGTGTTACTGGTCATAGACTGGGTTACTGGGTTTAGTAGTTCTGGGGTTTTTCTGGGTCAGTAGTATGGGGTTACTGGGTCATAGTAGGTGTTACTGGGGGAAGTAGTACTGGGGGTTTTGGGTAAAAGGTCTGGTGTTATGGCGTAGTACTGGTGTTTCTGGGAAGTAGTTGGGGTACTGGGGTAATAGTATGGTTTAAAGGGTAAGTATACGGTGTTACGGTAAGTATACTGGGTTACGGGTTTGTATACTGGTGTTTTCGGGTCAGAGTACTGGGTTTCTGCAACAGGTATTTATTTACTGGGGAAATATACTGGTGTTACTGGGGGAAGTAGTATGGTGTTACTGGCTCAGTAGTAATGGTTTACTGAACATGGTATTGTGTTACGGGGAATAGTACTGGTGTTACGGGTAAGTAATACTGGTGTTACTGGGTAATAGTACTGGGGTTACTGGGTAAGTAGTACTGGGGTTCGGTAGTATACTGGGGGTTACTGGGTAATAGTACTGGGTTACTGGGTCAGTGTACTGGTGTTACTGTAAACAGTGGGATTGATGTTACTGGTAATTAGTACTGGGGTTTCTGGCATAGTACTGTGTTACTGGGGAAGTAGTACTGGGGTTACTGGGGAATAGTACTGGTGTTATGGGTAAGTAGTACGGTGTTACTGGGGCAGTAGACGGGGTTTTCTGTAACAGTGTATTGATGTTTCTGGGTGTGTACTGGTTACTGGGGAAGTAGTACGTGTTACTGGGTAAGTAGTATTGGTGTTATTGGGAAAAAAAATAGGTGTTACTGGGTAGGTACTGGTGTTACTGTAACAGTGGTATTGATGTTACTGGATAAGTAGTACTGGTGTTACTGGGTAAGTAGTACTGGTGTTACTGGGTAAGTAGTACTGGTGTTACTGGGTAAATGTACTGGTGTTACTGGGTCAGTAGTACTGGTGTTACTGGGTAAGTAGTACTGGTGTTACTGGGTCAGTAGTACTGGTGTTACTGTAACAGTGGTATTGATGTTACTGGGTAAGTAGTACTGGTGTTACTGGGTCAGTAGTACTGGTGTTACTGGGTGAGTAGTACTGGTGTTACTGGGTTTGTAGTAGGGGGTTAATGGGTAAGTAGACTGTGTTACTGGGTCGTAGTACTGGTGTTACTGTAAAAAGGGTTTTTTGGGTTTTGGGGAAGTATAATGGGTTACTGGGTAAATAGATGGTGTTTGGGGAATAGAAATGGTGTTACTGGGTAATAGTCTGGTGTTTTTGGGTCATTGTACTGGGGTTACGTAACAGTGGTTTTTATTTAGGTAAATAGTACTGGTGTTACTGGGGCAGAGCGGTGTTTTTGGGAATAGTATGGGTTTTCGGGGGAGTAGTACTGGGTTTTTAAAGAACAGTGGGATTTAGTTACTGGGAATTTGTACTGGTGTTACTGGGTAATGAATGGGGTTCTGGGGCAGTAGTACTGGGTTACTGGGGCAGTAGTACTGGTGTTACTGGGTCAGTATTACTGGTGTTTTTGGGTAAGTATATGGTGTTATGGGGCGTAGTCTGGGGGTTTTTGGGGCTAGTACTGGTGTTCGGTCAGTAGTCTGGTGTTACTGGGTCAGTAGTACTGGTGTTTCTGGGGCAGTAGTATGGTGCTGGGGGAAGTAGTTGGGGTTATGGTCATAGTACGGTGTTATGGGGCAGTAGTACTGGTGTTACTGGCATATCTGGGTTACTGGGGCAGTAGTACGGTTTACTGGGTCAGTAGTATGGTGTACGGGTCATTTTACGGGGTTTTTTTGGGGAAGATACTGGGGTTTCTGGGGAAAAGTAGTACGTGTTACTGGGTAAGTAGTACTGGTGTTACTGGGTCAGTAGTACTGGTGTTACTGTAACAGTGGTATTGATGTTACTGGGTAAGTAGTACTGGTGTTACTGGGTCAGTAGTACTGGTGTTACTGGGTAAGTAGTACTGGTGTTACTGGGTCAGTAGTACTGGTGTTATGTAACATTTTATTGTGTTACTGGGTAAGTAGTACTGGTGTTACTGGGTAAGTAGTACTGGTGTT